TGATTTGAATAAAAACAGAGATGTGGCCCCATAACTTCTCTTAATGACGTGTGACGAAGGATCTCCTCTCTCCGTCCGCTCTCTCCTCTCTCTCCTCTCCCTCCTCTCTCTCTCTCTCTCTCTCTCTCTCTCTCTCTCTCTCTCTCTCTCTCTCTCTCTCGCTCAGATTGCTCCCCGGTGTAAACAATATAATGTCTGTCTGTACGGATGAGAAGATGAGCCACAGTAGTTGCTCATCATTCACTCTTATCTATTTTCTATCTCAGCGGAGAGTGGAATGATATGTAATCATCATCAATCTGCTGGCTGAACATAATAATGTTATTATTAAAGGAGTGCGGCTGCACAATGGGTGTATTGGCGTTGAGAAGATGTGTGTGCTTTATGTGAACAGTTTAGGAGTGTGTGTGGGTCTATCCTAATGATGAGTAATCCTAGTTGATGGCAGATAATAGCAGCGTGTCAATGCGCTTGTGATGATGATGCATTCAGGTGCTCGCCTTTGCCGCAAATCCTACCGTCTGAAACCCATTGGCAGCCTCTCCTGCTTCAATAAGCCCTTTGGGGAGGCCTCGTTTGCACAAATTGTGTTTTATGGTTCCTGTTAGGGCTAGATATGCTCCTTCACCGGGGCCGTAATTGACTACCATTGCCCACAACGGCGCATTTTTAATTCATCGTGATGGTGTTTAATGGCGGTTAATAGAACGTTTGCGCACTAAACAAGGTAATTTCTGCACGACCTTCTGTTGTTAATGTTATCACGTGGCACCCTGGTGACACGGCAAATTAACGAGCTAGCCAGGGATGGTTTCCATATTGTGTTCATGTATAGACAGATGTGTCTGATTAGAAGCATCATCCTTTATTTACAATGAAGCTCTTTAGAAGGAGATGATACTTTTAGGGGAATCATTTGCACTGTTTATGGTGATGGTAACCTAGTCTGACTATGTTTGGGAAATTGGACCAAAATATTGGTAATTGGTGATTGGTGAAAACGGTTGATTGTTGGAACAGTGGGAAGACTAACCAAGGTTTTGCAGTTTTATTTTGCTTATGTTGAGTTTAAATACAAAGTTTAATGATGGTTTTACAGATAAGGAATTACACTTAAAAGGTGTATTTTTCTGTTTAATAAGTCAAAAACAGTGTGACAATGTATACTTTCTTCACATGTTGTTAGTTTTATTTAGACAGAAAAGCTAAAAGAGCTTGGAGAACCAACATATACATATATAATACATGCGCAAATATATCGCCAATTACCAGTTGTTGGGCTGCTGGATGGAACATTTTAATATTATACCAAACTCTCCCCTTGACTTGAAAAAAAAAATGGTTCCTAAAATGTTTGCGGTCTTTCAGCTCACAGACAGTCTTCAAGGCTACTGCCCTTACCTCTCAGGATATGGCTTAATTGGACTAAATGTCATCATTTTTTTAGGTCGCTATGGAACAACCAAAAGGACCAGGCTAACTGTTCCATATTCTTTACTTTTGACCTGATCAAACAGCACATCCAAAACTCGACAGATTGACTAGAATGAATTGTATTTTTTTATCCTTTGGTTGCTCGGGATGTTATATTGCGTGTAATAAGAAGACTCAGTGTGATTGTTTAACCAGTAGTAGCCTAATGTGTGGTATTTCTAGCTTTCAGTCACCGCTAGGCTATGTTATGCTAGCTGCTAACTGCCAATGGTAAAAGCAATTAAAATGTTGCCTGTTTTTTAGGTAAACCAGAAAAAACTACAGAAACTGTTCATATTTACACATTTAGCAGATATGGAGAAGCATTATCCTAAATTTAGATTCAAGTTTTTTTAAATACAGAACATGTGTAGTGTCGATGTCAAGGCTGTGGAGTTATTTAAACACACCTTTGACGGAGGGGAGTTACGGAGCAGAAATAAAGTAGTAGATGTAACAAAATCCATAACTGCTGAGTATTAAGTAAAGTCATTATTGGTTCAAATGTTCTTGTAACTAGTCTAGTAGACTTTTTGACGTGACCTTTTGATCTCACGACTGTTTATAATCAAGCCAAATAATAAAAAAAAGGCCCTCTCAGGATGTGGTATTAGATGTTGCTGTGAGCAAATTGAATCAACTGCTGAGACAATCCCACTGGAGCTCAATCCTCGACATGTTCCAGGTCAGGGAGCTCCGTTCACAACATCAGCCTTCTCATTATCTGGTGCAGTCAACAGTCTGGGACCCGGTTATAGTCAGACTGACTTGTCCCCAAAATCAAACTAGATGTGTGAGACAAAGTGCTCCACAACATTAACATTTACCAGGCTGGAATGGCAGTTTATTTTAAAAAAGGATTTACATTGTCAGTACCCCGTCCTGCGCAGAATGATTAATAAGGCTGTAGAAACTGCTGACAGGCAAAGAAAAAAGAGAGGATTAAGAGTGGAGAGGGAATGAGGAAATGAGAGAATCAATCAGAAAGAAAAGAAAACAGAATGAGAATGTGTTGGTTTTCCTTTGCTCAATATTTACAAGTCCTCTTCTTCTTCATCCTTTCCTCCATCTATCCAACCAACTATCCACTCCCTCCTTCCTCACACAGAACTACTAATGAAAAACCCCTTTTTATTTCCATAGGGGATTAAAATGATTCAATTCTTCTTCCACCCAGTCCTCCCCGTCTCACTTTCTCTCTGCAAAAGAAAGCAGCATCCTGATAAAAGTGAAGATAAGAGAAGAAGGGAGCGGAGGAGAAGGGTCAAAGTTTGCCTTTATTCATTTTCTGTCAGCGAGCAAAGCTGATGTGCTGGAGGAGGATGAGCTGGCACGAGGCAGACAGTTAACAAGACACACACATACACACACATTTGTTTATAGTCATTTAGAGCCTTAAAGGTGAAGACGATTTAATATGCAAACATTCGATCCAGAATTATTGCCCTTTTCTATACTAATGAGACTCATTGCCGAAACAGTCTGATTCCCAAAGGTCAGAGCAAATAGCCATACGCCGTTACACTGAAATTATTAGCAAATTTATACCGTTGGCGGTAAATGAAGAAAATTATGCAAAGTGTAAATACCAGATGGATTTTCTTTTTTTTTACAGTCTGTCAGCCCTGACAGACTGCAATATTAAATTAAATCCAATGAAATGAGTTTTTCTCCTTATGGATTGAATAAGGGTCTTCATCGTCTTCATCTTCTTCTAAATCCCGAATAATTCCTTACCTAAAGTATCAAGAAATTCCTTTGCACCTCATTGGTCAGGACATGTAAATTAATTTGTCAGACCAATATCCTAAATAATGTTTTTAATTCCCCTCTTCTATTATACTGCATACTTGAGTCAAGAATATATTGCAACATTGATTATTGAAATAAAAAACAAAAAAAAGTAATTCTAGGGTCGGCTGCAATGCTCTATTGGAATGTTGCGCTGCAATATAATTAACGCAATCTTTTTAGTCAATCGGACCTTGTGATGGGGCATTTAGTTTGCAAGTGAAGCGTAAGTTGTGGTGCTAAAAGGTGTTTTGTAAATGCACCGCAGAGCCATCCTTTGTCAACCTGCCCAGTGACGTCGATCAATCCTTTCATAAACCTGATAGTCATCAAAGAGCATGAGATAGAGTGTACTGCCACCTCTACACCACTTAATACGTCTTCACATAACCATTTTAGCCTCAAGACGTCCAATCATCGGCTGAAGGTGAGGCAAATGCGGCCGGTTGTTGAAACTCAATTTCTATGAGCTGCTAATATATATGTATATAAAGTGTCAGCTGAAATTGGAATTTCTGGCCTTTAACCTGACAAGTGTTTCTGTCTGTTCATCTTGCTGGCAGTATGATTTAAATTCAAACTACAGAGATGGGGTGCTGTGTGAGGAGAGCCAGCATGCTGATTTGTCATCACATCTAGTCTTGTCTGTGTTTAAATTGTTCTTCGAAAACTTGGCATTTTAATGTCTTGCGGTGTCTTTTGATGTTACTTATTCAAATGTATTCTTTTTTTCCATGTGCCCGTTCCTATACCGGGTCACCGGGGACTGGAGGCTATCCCAGCATGCATTGGTTTTGAAGGAAGAGGAACGCGATGAACGGCTTGTCACTGTTCACACAATGGAAGAAAACCTCATTCAAACTCTGACCTCTATGCAAACAGACACCAACGAAGGTTCCCCATTTGGGATTTGAAACTAGCTAGTTCTCGCTGTGAGGCGACGCTGCAAGCAACCGCAATTAGAATATTGAAAACAATCCTCTGATGTGACGTGGGTGTATGTTTGTAGGCAACAGATGTTGTACTAGATGCCAGCTGCGAGGTGAATATTAAATCCAACTCGACAGTAAATCAGTGAAGTGTGTAGGTAATACTGGAGCAGCTGGGATGTGAGAGCAGGGCTTAGATGCAGGTGGGAAGAAAGGTAAATACACAAATATAATTAAAATCATGCTAAGATCACCGTCTACAGTGATGGCAAATCTGTGAGAAATGTTTTACCAAACAGAAAGTATTAAGGTCAGCTGGCACTATTTACAGCATGCTAACTTAAAATAATGGTTATTGTTGGGAAAATGACTTTAACATTTTAATACCGTATCACAATGACTATGTTAGTTACTTATGGTCGTGAGCTTTCTGGGCTTATCTTTGGTTGCAATTGTTTTTATAATTATAAAAAAATACAAAATATTCCCGGCACTATTTCCCAAGGCTCATGATCACAGCTTCAAATTGCCAATTCCAAACCAAACCATACTTTGTGTACACAAAAAATTAACACAATTTGTGAAGTTTGAACCAACAAATTCTGCTTCAACTTTAGCATCATTTATGCTGACAGTGACACTGATGTTAGCCAGGTATGTTTATCACATTCAGCATCTTAATTCGACATGCTAGAATGCTTCATTTGCTACTTGGTGATAAACCAAAGTATTGGAAAAATAAGGAATTTAAACTGACAATGGTGCTAAATTGAAAGTTTAAGGGATTGCTTGAGTCTTTATTTTATTCTGTTGGGCATATGGATTTCTGTACCAAATTGCAACGCAATGCATCCAATAGTTTGAGATATTTCACTGAACACCACCAATATCAATCTTATGTTGGCGTAACAAGAAAAACAGAAAAGCACCAAAGTCATATAGCCAAGTTTGTCTGTACCACATTTTTGTGCCATAAATAGAATATTTAAGTCTGGACCAAAGCATTAGATAATAACTATCCCTAGAGCTATGCTGCTAGCGTGGCTAAAAAGTATACAAAACATTAAAGGTCACATGTCATGCTTTTCCGGTTATTACCCGTCCCCTTGTGTGTTATGAAGGTTTTTCTGCATGTAAACGGTGTGCAGAGTCAAAACCCTCAAAGTACACCCTGTAGCGAGTAAAACTCTAAAACAGAAAATACCTCCCCAAAACGCCTCGTTGGTGAAACGTCATCATGACGTCATCGTCCATGATTCTTGCCGGGTTACGTGCTACGAGAAGCATGTAGGTCGCTACCCGTAACGTAAATGCGCCCAATCCGTGAAGCCGTTAACTGTTACGTCCGCGGAGGCCCGTTACGTTAAGCCCCCGGCTCGATTGTTCCAAAGTTGACCAATCCGACACACACGAACCTCAGTGAGAGCTGCAGCGACCGTGTAGTGGAAGACGAAGAGTGGAATACTGCCTGAAATTACACATACTGTTACAGAGATGCTGTATGCGAAATACCAAGTGTGAGTTGGAAAATTGCACGAGTAGTTTTTCTATTTTAGTGGATACCTGCAACAAATGGAATTATGATCGCAGGGACGAAAGGTGCGTGGGGGGTATATTGACCGTTAAGCAGTCTACCAGGAGTGAGATTGGGATAACGTGGTATATATTTGTTTTATGTTTTTATTTTGTATTTTTTATCTGCTGGGTTTATAAATTTTTCTTATTTCTCTTCTTATTCCTTTATTATAACAAAAAACCGATATGTTGCGCCTTCTCTGTCTTGGTTTGCATTTGTTCTGGCCCATGATTGTTTTGGTCGGTGAGAGCATTCTTGTAGTTAGATGTAATACATGTATAGAACTGTTTTCATCTGAATGAACTTATGCCCAATGAAGGATAAAGGTCATGACCGAAAAGAACTAAGTACTTGGCTGGGTAGGCAACGTTTTCCAAATGTTGGTTTCTCGGCG